GTGCGGTTTCTTGATCTGCAAACCGCAATCATAAATTTGATTGATTTGATTGGCTAAAGAGACTTTTGCATTTAAAATTATCGCTATTATACATATTACCATTACGTATGTAGATAATCAACCAACGATTAGTTGGTTAGTCAACTACCCTAGTTGTCAACTAGTTGGTTTTTCGGCCATTACTGTATTATAGAGACCTTATATAGCATTTTATGTTACTTAGCTTCAGGGTGTTTTCATTACTAAACCGACACACGAATATTAACCAATTAGATTTCAGTTTTTTTTTTGTACCGCGTTCATCCATTCGTGTTTATTTTGTTAAGACGTGTCGACAAAAAAGTTATATAAGGGTCTTTTTTTTTTTACCTACCCCTTATATCACTTTTCAATATCATTTTTATACCACCCTATGAAATTAAAAAAAAGGAATATTCACACTTACAAGTTCCTCGACGGTGAAGTTGAAGAATGCGAGGAATTCGAACTTATCGGTGAAGATCCAGTAGTTTTGCAGAATCCTGATGAAGCTGGGAACGATAAAAATACATTACCGTGTCGTCTTCTCGAAGACTTTATCATATTTGACGCGAACAAACAAAATCAAGTAGGATATTTATTCTATTTCATTTTCCTTATATAGTGTATATATTTAATTATTTTGATCCTTTAGGTTGTCAGTCTCGACGAAATAGAAGTTGAAGGAAGAGAGCTTCATGCTGCGGGAATTGTTAAACCAATGTTTGTTGGACCAGATGAAGAGGACGAAGATGACGATGATGATGGTGAAAATGAAAATGTCCGAAAGCGAATTCCAGATCAACGATTCCGAACAACCACGATATTTTACTACCAGATAGAGTATTCTCAAAATGGACAAAGCGAAATTTGGCTGCGAACTCAATATGGCTTTTACAAATTGCGGAAGGCCGCGCAAGAATATATACAATATTTTACGCCCGTCTTTAAAAGAATTCGTACCGCTAATCTTGCAATTGAAGCAATTGCTAGAGATCCTGAAGTAACATA